AATACCACTCCACAGGAGGAATTTAAACACTTATCTTTGTATGTATTTCATTTTTCTTGCGTTTTCTGAGTAATATACGTTTATGTTAACCAAATAAATATTTATAATAAATCTGTGATTGATTAGTATTCTCGCCATCGTTCGATTTCAGTGACACACATATTTGCGCATTCCCAAAAGGAGAGCCACAGTTAACTGGTTAAATCAGCGTTTCTCAAAGTGTGGGGCACGAGCATATTGAAAATTCAAAAACAAAAGATTATTTAAAAAATTAATTTACTGAAAGTAAAACAAAATACTTTCTGATATAATAAAATATACAATGACACTGATATAATACTTATAAATGTATCAGTACTGTACAATGTATTTTATTATTAATTTAACAATACTAAATTAAGAACTAGTTGAATAATTATCAGTGACCCCATGGGTTTGTATTAATTATCTTGATAATTCTCTCATATGATTTATAAATAATTTCTTAACTGCCGATTAAAAGTTACGCGATTCGCTCCCAAATGCCACCGTTTTCCCTGAAGACGAGCATATTTTGATGTTTTTTTTAGGGGTAGGAGGAGGAGAAAGGGAATAAATAAGTAAATCCTCTGAAGTAAGTAAATCCTTCGCAAACACTGTCAAGGTCCTTTTATTGCATTCCAAAGCCTTCGGAATAATTTTATGGATAGAACTGCACAGAAAGGATCGTACTTCGGAAAGACGTACATATACGTCCAGAAAATTAATACTTTGAGACTGAGCGAGACGTTTATATACGTCGGTGGCACTTAAGAGGTTAAGGTCGTATTGGAGCTTTAGTGTCAAAATATAGTATTATAGAATTCAATACATTGTTATTGTACGGAGAAGGGGCGCGCTGAAAATTATGATTGAATAGTGGGTCACGTATATTGAAAGTTTGAGAAGCACTGGGTTAAATACAAACTAACAGCACAAACTTCTAATACATCAGAAAAATTACAGATCCATCAAGTACATATTTAAAACAAAAATCCGATAGAAAATTAATTCCATGTCTTAGTCTAGGAAGAAAAAAAAAAGATTCAATTTAAATTTATATTTATCATAAAAAAATACAACATTTAACAAATTAATCCTCATTCACTACATTCAATCATCCCGCTAAAAAACATCCACGGAACATTAAATTCTCATCATTATCCATCATGCACCTTCTAACATGACCCGCTATGAAGTATTCTTGTCGTCGACTTGAAATTCAGAAAACGAAGAGAGTAAGTAAGAAGGAAAAAAAGAACTTATAATAAAATAATCAAATTTGGAAATGCGAGGAGACGTCCAGGAAGGTATTCATCAAGTCTGACAATTATTAAATCCGGGGTATGCTAAGTACTCCATTTTTCAATTCCAACTGTAATGTAAGACTACATCTTCGCCCCATTAATTCAATCGATACGAGACATTTGAATTTACTTTCCGAGAGAGAAAAGTGGAATTATACCGGGAATACATTAGATGTGATGATATAAACCCAATAAAATATTCGGAGCAAATGATTCTAAAACATGGCCGATTTTCTTAAGAGTCAGTTGCTTGCGAATTAATGTCAACCTGCCGAGTTTCCACAAAAGGTACTACCGAAGATTTCGCTGTTTTAAATCGCAGTCAAATAATGAGCTGATATTTTTCCCCTCAACTTCCCTATCCACCACTGGAGGGATTTTTGATTTGATTTTCATTTAGGACGCTCTTTGTAGCACCACGAGGACTATTAGTCTCGTAATTCTATAAGCAAGGTCACCCATGCCATTATGAGGACTGTAACGTTTCCCGTCAGACAGCAGTAAATAGGCTTCTTATAGTGGACAGGATAACCACGCCTCTATGAACATCTGCACCCTTAAAATGTTGCGAGGTCTTGTCTTTGAGCGTCACCCGGCAACCTTTGACACCGCGAAGAACCCCTACTCCACTCATGAACCGGATGTAACTCGAGGCTAAAGAGGGCGACCGCCACCATCCAGAGACCTTAGATAGGGTAGAAAAAGAAGATGGTTTGAAACTTTCGTAGAGAATAAATGTGACCTCCTCCCTGACCAACATCAATTTGTGACTCTAATGATCGAAAAAATATTTTTAATAGCTTCAATGTATACTGTAATTAATAGCTGTGACGTAAAATAAACCAAACATTTAAATTAATAAATATCACGCTACCATTATTTTTCTCAAACGTCACAAGATTTAAGGCCTCGACAGATTTAGGGCCCTTTCACATGAGTAAATGTAAGCTACAAGTAACAGAAGGAGCAAACAGTCAAAGAATAATTTTGAATAGAAAGCGCTTGAGTCCCTTCACACATGGGAAACGGGCACTTCCTCAAGCTCTCGAAAACCACGTTCTCCTTTCCACTAGTTGACTCAACTAAGAAGAAATTGTAGTGACTATGCTGTTCATACGCGGCTACTTATGTATTGAAAATGGAGAAAGCTTTTATCTTCTTCTAACTCAATCATTGTACAGCGGTGGGTCTGACACATCTTTTTCAGTCAACTTTGTGTCCACATGTGAAAGGAATTCTCTTTATTTCTTAGAGTAGTTGCCTCGTGTGAACCGCAATCGAGCTCCTCGGTGCTTTTCGATCGTGTTTTTTCAAAACCCTCTGGTACGTAAACGGTTGATGCTCACGTGCCCCGTTGCGTACAATTCAATCAAAATTAAGATTGCTTTGATTTAAAAGGATGGGAAGCGAACCTAGGAGACATTTTTAAGGAAACCTTTTCTAATACCAATACAAATTCGCTTAACAACAAAAATTATACACACTTGTCAAAATACGTCTAAAACTCAGACAATAAGTAACTGATGTTGAAAATTTTTAACGTGTAATTTAAAGTTTTTTTAAACCAAAATGTGGAAATTATTTATTATATAAAGTAGAATGATTCAGTGGCACTTTTTACAAGGGGGGTCTAAGTCAGAACCCCCATGGTCCCTTAGTTTTTTTTTTTCGATTGGTTATAATCCTATGTATATATTACGTAAAATTTAACTACATATTTGTTATGAATAATTAATTTTATTAATTAATGCTAATTATATATTCAATAATTAATTCTGTATTGTTTTTGTTCCTGAAAATCGACAAAATCAAAAGAATATGTTGGGCGGCGTATTGGTGCATGATACCAAAATAGTGGACTTTCGACCCTGGACCCACCCCCACACACCCCTTAAAAATTTTTGTGTGCGCTACTGGAATGATTAATACAGAAAAGAATGTACAGATACATGTAGTTCTCTGAATTTTATATACCAACTCAGTCTACAAATAATGGTTTATTTTTCCGTCTCAAAGTGTTTCCAATGTGGATTTTGCTATTTACCATCAAGAGGAGTTAACTTTTACTTGTGGGAACACACACAACTGGTGAAAACTTAATATAAAATAAACTGATACAAATCATATACAGCGTTGGGCCTTGCTCTACCATCAACTATTCATCAACTAAACCCTTTGACTAATTTCAAATACCCCGATGTTCCTTCAAGTACTATCTCAACAGGATAGTTCCCCCATCGTCCATTCCATCCTTGTAATAAGCATAACGGAACAAATCGACGGACACGGAATGCCGAGGGGGTCACGCGAAGAATGCCCGCATATCATTAAGTCCGATTACTGGCCTCTCGGTCTGGTGCAAGTCGGGGGATATTTCTGACACGCGGTCATTCCATTGTGTTACTCCCTCACCATTGATTCGAGCACAACGATCTATTATTCCAATACCACCCTCCACTGCGGCAGTTAGCTTTTTTTACTTTGATCTCGCGGGGGGTCGATGAAATATTGCGCTCGATGATCGGCTTTAAGGTATCCGACTACATTCGGAACCGTGATTTTGCAAAAGCGCATAAATGGATAATTTTCATGATATTTAGTGTCGCTTAGATTAGAATACATGTATATAATTGTTTTAAGGACATTTTGACGAAAAAATTATTTAAATACAATATTCGGCAAAAATTAACTAGAATAATCTTTTTCAAAATGTTCTTCCTTTTGTGAAAAATGCTTCTATTTAATAATATGTTGCTATACAGCTCGAGACCTCTCTACAGAGGCTCAACTAGAATTTTTGAAATATATAATTTAGAAGTGGGTTTATCCATGTTTTACGATAACAGAGGGGAGCAATTTTAAGAAAAAAACGCCGATAATTATTTCAATGGGTGGTAACTCTGAAAATAATGTGAATTTTTCAAAAATTCCAGTCGAGGCTCTGTAGAGAGGTCTGAGCTATAAACAGGCAAAATATTTTTATAATAGAAGCATTTTTCACAAAAGGAGAACATTTTGAAAAAGATCTATTTCTATATTTAATTTTTTGCACAAAATATTCATATTTTTGAAAAAATTTTTTTTCAAAAATGTCCTGAAAAACAATTTTATGCTATGTATTCTTGGATCAGGAGTGACACTAAATACATGAAAATTATCCATTTATGCTCTTTAAAATCAGGTCGTTAAGTGTGGATACCCTAAGGAAAGTCTGCTGTATTATGATAAAAGTGAAATGCGTTTAGGTTGCGTTATTTAAAAAATAAGATACAAAACTACGAGATGTGTTTGTAAGCTGCTAACACTTAACTAAAATTAAACAATGAATATTTGATTAACTGTTTATTAGTTTCCTTTAGTTATGCATTGGAAACCATCCAAGTCTACTAACGATGGTCTCATTACTTTTGTAGACACCTAAACAAGTAATATATAAACAAATTAAGTCAATTCCTACTTAGGTTAACAAAGAAAAATTTTATTTTAGTTTCTTTTTATTAAATAATTACAATTAATATAAATATGTATACACATATGACAGAATCACAGTATTAAGTGGTAAAACAGACACCAATTTTCCATTTTTTCCTTCTATATATGATATTGGACTCTTATTTTTTGTTTTGTTACTATTTATATATATTCATTCATAAATCACATTCTCAGAAAATAGGTCACTCCAGGTAGAATTCAAAACCACGGCCTTTGGATTAGAAGTCCAAAGCGTTATCCATTGCACTACAGGGTCACAACGAGCGATATTCCTTTTTATATACGGTGTTGGACTATTATTTTTGTTTGTTACTATTTATTCGTTAATTAAATTTAACTAATGAATTAATATTTGAAAAAACTGTATTAACATCAAGTGTCATCCAGTACAAATTTAAAAAAAATGTATTTGAACTTGAATGGATGAATAGAAAGTATTTTATTAACGATTGAAAATTTGAACACACACACACATATATATATATATATATAGTAGGAATTGAAAAATATATAGTATAGAGTAGAGGGGGGAGAATGTAGAATATTAAAAAATATTTAATAATAATAATATGAAATATAGATTTGAATAGTAGTAGGAATTAGGGGGGAAAAAAGAATGTTTGTCATTCAAGCAATTCGGTTTTACTTCCTAATTGTTTTAATAAAAGGAAAACTTCCATGTGCTTGTGTGTGTGTGTGGATGTTTCATTTCATTTACTAGTTTATTACAGAGAGCAATATCATTCCTGTTCAAAAAATTATTTTGCAGTTCCGTAAATATTATTCAGAAACACATAGTCTTTTTCTCTACTATTTTTTCTTGCAACTATGAAAAAGGTAATAGATTTAAATATTGAGAACCAGGATAAGGAACAATACAAAATCGAATAATGTTATTGATGCAATAACGCAATAAAATTATATTATTAAGTTGCATTAACAAGAGCTAAACCTTTGAATAGTTTTTAAATGTTTAAACGGTATTTTAGATAAACTAGTAGCGCAATGTATGCCTTCAAAGTGAAATTTTTCTCGCGTTTCGATAATTCTTGTCATTTTAATTAAATTTTTTTTATTTTTTCATTCACGCCTCACAGAAGACAGTTGTCTTTTATTATTTACTTAAATATAACACATTCGTGTTTTTGGACGAAAAATATAAAATTTTAAAAATTTCACTGAATTTAAAATGCCGCTCTCTTTAATAAAAGAACAACTTATGCATTTATGATTTAAACAAATTTCTACAAAACATGTAACATAAAAAAGATTTTTAAGTTAATTCCTACTTAACTCCTAGTCAACAAAGAAAATTTTTATTTTAGTTACTTTTTATTAAATAGTTACAATATAAATATGTATATACATGACAGAATCACAACATTAAGTGACAAAATAGAAAGCGATTTTCCTTGCAGTTTTCCAATTTGCTTTCTATATAGGGTATTGGACTATTTTTGTTTGTATGTTTATTACTATTTATTCTTTCATTAAATTTAATTATTCTAATAAAACAGTTTAGTAAATAGAAATCACATTCGAAATTAAACCATCTCAGGTGGTATTCAAACTGACGATCTTTGGATCAGAAGTCCAACGGTATCCATTAATTTTGGGGGCAAGGGAATTTTTTTCATATATGCTGTTAGACTATTTTTTTTGGGTTACTATTTATTCTTTTTTTTAATTTAATTAATGAATTAATATTTGAAAACTGTTTTAACATCAAGTGTCATCCACTCCCCAAATTTAAAAAATGTATTTGAACTTGAATGGATAAATAGAATTTTTTATTAACAATTGAAAATTTGAACAAGATATATATTTTATAGAGAGAGAGTGAACTAATATATAGTAGGAATTGAAAAAGTATATAAAAAAAATTAAGGAAAAATAATACTAAATAACAAATTAAGACATATCTTGCTTCATACTTTGTAATGGTTACATGCTATTAAATATTTTGGGAACTTTTCCTGCCGTTATTGTTCCATACCAAAACAAAAACTTTAAATTGTATACAGAATCGGAACTTTTTGTATTTTTGGAACAGCCCCTTTAAGAATAACAGGAAAAAGATAACATTTGATTGTATGGGTGAGATATGGCCATAGTAGAAGTTAGACCCAAGGGCTAATCGATTTTCCGTCAATAGTGGTAAAGCGTATTGATCTTTGGAAGTTTTTTTATTCTTTTTATAAAGCTTTTCTTTTTTCCCATAACGGGACGTAGAAGTAGTTACCCTTGTAATCGGTAAAAAGATAGCCCCCCCTCTCCAAACCAATAACAGTTTTGTGAGTGACTAGTAAAAAATTCATTTAAAAATTAAAATCAATACATTTATAAAACAAAGAATTTAAATAATAAATGTAAGAAGATATCAGATAATTCAAACCAACATAAGCAAAGAAGTAATATAAAAAAAATAATTTTTAAAATCAATTCCTACTTAGGTCAACGAAGAAAATCTTATTTTAGTTACTTTTTAATAAATAATTACAGTTAATATAAATATGTATATACATATGACAGAATCACAATATTATAAGTGGCAAAATAGAAAGTAATTTTCCATTTTTCCTTTCTATATATATTATGTTCGACTATTATTTTTGATTGTTACTATTTATTCATTCATTAGTCACATTCTCAGAAATTAGGCCATCCCTGGTAGAATTCGAACCCACGACCTTTGGATTAGAAGTCCAACGCACTATCCATTGCACTACAAGGACACAATGAGTGATATTCCTTTTTATATACGGTGTTGAATAAATAGTAACAAACACAAATAATAGTCCTTTAATTAAATTTAACTAATGAATTAATATTTGAAAAAACTGTACTAACATCAAGTGTCATCCACTACAAGTTTTAAAAAATGTATTTGAACTTGAGTGGATGAATAAAAATTATTTTATTAACGATTGAAAATTTGAACAAGATTATACACACACACACACACACACACACACACACACACACACACACACACACACACACACACACACACACACACACACACACACACACACACACACACACACACACACACACACACACACACACACACACACACACACACACACAAAAAAAAAAAAAAATATATAAAAAACCCCTAAAAAATCACATCCAAACAATAAACTGACAAACACAAAAGAAAACGGGAAAAATCACTCAATAAAAGGGGAAAAAAGGGGTAATCAGATAATTATAAAATGGATGCTGCAGTGCCATGAACTTTACTGACTTAGGACAGTTAGTATATAAAAATTAATTTATAAAAAAGGGGGGTTGAACATTTTTTTTTGGCCCAAACCAACCTTCCCCTTTATTTGTAAATAACACTGAGCAAAAACCAATAGGAAATAATGGATAAAAATATCAAACATTTTCAAGATAGAGGTAACCACCTAAAAATTACTTACAAATGCAAAGCCCGCGCTAAATCTGAGTGGAAACATTCAATTTGTTGCCAGATTCTATACCCCAAAACAGATTTAAATCAAAAAAAGGGGGCGGGAAAAGTAGCACCCCCAAAAAAAAGATTAAAAAAGGAAATAAAAAATTAAAAAATTTGTTTCATTTGGGGATAACCTAAAAACTCCAGAGTAAATATGAATAAAATAAAAAGTAAAAATAATTTCTAATCTAATATTAACTATGGAGATAACTATAACAAAAAAATTTGTTTATAAAATAAACTAACAACTTTATAATTTTAATCCTAACTATTTTGAAATAGCTTTATTTTTTATAACTATTAATAAAATAAATTGGGTATTTTGATTTAAGCAATATTTAGTAAAATGTGGTAAAAGTTATTTATAATTTTCTGATTTTTTTTTTACACAAGAAATTTTTCCCTTTATAATTAATAACAATATTTCTGAATATTGTTTAAAATTTTTTAAAAAGGGCAAAAATTTTGACGGGTTTTTGAAATCGTTTGGTTTTAAACGCCTACTTAATGAGCAATATGTTGAAAAAATTCTACACTTGAAAAAAATTTATTTTTAAATAATTTTAACTGTATTTTGAAAGAAAATTTAAGAAATAGTATTATTTATGCGCATTAATGAATCTTAAGAATAATTGCGAAAAAGTATACAAATAAGAGATTGTTAGATTTTAACATCTTTCTTAAAAGCAGCCAATTAGACTTTTGTTGGACTGCCCTCTCGTATGGCAGCCAATACCCAAATTAAAATTGACGTTCTAAATTAATCCAAAATCAAACTAAAACAAAAATCTCCCCAAAACTAGAAATGACGAAACCACCAAATCCTATAAGATAGAAGCGTATTAAGAAATACAGTCGGGCCTCTACATAACGAAGTCGCTAAATCCCGGAAAAAAGTTCGTTATATGGAAAATTTGTTAAATAGAGGTTTATATCTTAATATACTTTATAAACCACACACACACACACAAATCAAATTCATAAACACTATATATTAAAAAAATAATTACTCACACTTTTTTAAAATTAATATATGTTTATTTTATATATCTTACCCATCAAAAAAGAAAGAAAAACTGCAAGGGAAACAAGAAAGAATGTCGAAGAATTAATTTTATTTTCAATATTAAAAAAATAATTTTATATTAAAATTAATGACTTATAAGAACATTTTATATAATTTAAAGCATGCAAGTAATATTAAACGTACATTATTTTATAATTAGAACACGGGGTCATGGGGCAACTACACTGAGGGTGAAGGAGGATTTCGAAGATGCTTCTAGTGAACTGGACAATGGGGGTTAAAGGTTGCACTTCTTGGGTGAGTGAGTGGTGTATGGGTTTATGGCGCAAGAGCCAAATCTGGCTAAGCTGCGCCAAACATTTGTTAAAATTATCTGTGACTGGACGTGAAGAAGAAAAGGGAAAATTGAATGACGAGAAAGAGGGTCGAAAATAGAGAAGAATCACTAGGGTACCCGTTGCACTTCTTGGATGAAACGTCCAGAACTCTACTTGCTCTCGGCGAGTTAGGATCTAATAAAACCAGTTCAAGATTTATGACCACCATAAAATGTATTAAAGAGAGAATAACTTTAAATTTTTTCAGAAATACTTTAAAAAAATGGAGAAAAAAATTGAATCACAAAAGGAAAAGTTCGTTATATAGAAAATGCACTTCGCTATAGAGAGGTTATTTTATGAAGAAAATCGTAAATGTTTAAGGTTACAGGAGAAAGTTCGCTATATAGAAAAATTCGTAATATAGAGGTTCGACTAAATATCATTTTAGAAGTCTTTACGGAGAATATTTCATTTCATTTTTATTGATTTACCTGAAAGGATGACAATAAATACAAAAGTGAAAAGCTGATTTTCGATACTAATCAAAACCAAACTAAAATAAAAATCTCCCTATGATTAGAAATAAACAGCCACAAAAGCCCGAAAAGAGAGAAGTTTTTAATAAGAAAATATATCATTTCGAATTCCTTATGGAACACATTCCGTTCCATTTTTATTGATTTTTCTAAAACGATGACGACAAATACCAAAATACAAACCTGACATTCGATACTGATCAAAATAAACTAAAACCAAAAATACCATCAAAAATAGAAATTAAATGAAAACACAAACACACATTACGCAATATTTTCTTGACAAAACTTTTCGCTCCAAGACATTTTCCAAAAGATGCCGTCTTCAAAAATAAAAGCGAGAGTAAATTGCAGAACTCACTTAAATGGAAATAATAAATGGGATAGTAATTACCTTAGAGCAACAAAAATAACTCTAAATTACGAAGAATAACTATTCAAGAAGCTTGTTTTAGGACAGTAAGTGCCTTTATAATTAAGAAAATTACTCAAAATTATTTCCCAAAGACTGAGGAATGTGTGCATGTCTAATAAACACGCCAAAATAAGCAATATTTGAAAGAAAGCGGTTTGAATATTATAATGAAAATTCGAACTTCATCAAATAAAATTTTATCGATAAGAATACTTTTACATATAAGTTAACATATTAAACATTATTCAATATATATATTATTATAAAAACTCGGGCTAAATTATCTTTTCTGCCGAAAGAGTACTGTGGAAGGAAAGATCAAGAGAATAGGAGTGGCTGGCGAAAAATTTGTCAACAAAAATAGATGAACTAGAAAATTCCAGAAGGGTCTAGAATGATTATTTGACGAGAAAATATTAGCAGTTACTAAACAGCTCTTCTGAGCCGTAACATTTGTCAAATACTTCACAGTGACTTGCGTTTTATATATTTCTGAACGCAAAAATAACGAACTGTAAATTTTTCATCATTTTTTGAGAAAATGCAAAGTGTGCTTTCAGTTATGTCTATCCTTATACAAATAATGAAGGCATGAACCTCAAAGGAATATTTTCGAAATTCGTTTTACAAATTTTTAACCTCATCCTTTAAAAGGCTTATCATTGAAATGAGTCGCCATATCTTTAAAAGTAGGATAATTATTCCATTATGACTTTTTTTAAAGATCATTATATACTTTGATTATCGATATATTCATGAAGCAGAGTTACAATTCTTTTTTGAACGAATCATTGTAAAAAACAAGAGTATTCTTTTAAGAGAGTTTAAAAGTTTTTTAATGAGCGTAATTTTTTTAGTAATATGTAATTATCAGTTTGGAAATATTTGCATAAAGAGATTTAGGTAGTAATATTTTTTCCTCAATAGGAATAACGTACTTTCTCGAGAACGAGAAATTCACAACTTCACAATAAATAGTTAAATTAAGATTTTAAAGTTTACTTTCTTTTGAAGTAGTTCAACGAGTTTAGTGAATTACATACACATAATAGATAATTTTTAGCACATTATTCCTCATGATATTTTACCGAGTATTGAATGTGCATTTAATTTTACATGTAAAATAATTAATAGTTTAAAAACACAATATTAAGAATCCGAATTATGAAAATTTCAAATTGTCATAATTCCAGAATCAGGAATTATTGAGAAAATTTTATTGTTACTTTACTGAAAATCACCTTCTAGAAAGCAAAATTGCATACACATACAAGGATCATATCTTTTAACACAATTAATCATGCATCCAGTAATGTTTTTAAGGTACCCGAAAACCATGATTTTTTTCAAAAATTGACACACACAAATTTTGTTTATGATTTTATTTTATAGGCCATCTTATTAGCTTAATAAAAATACCAAGTTTTTTACTTTCCATTCACTAGAACAAAAACTACAAGGGTTTTAGTAAAAGCAGATGCCTTAACTTTACACAAGACGTCAAACTTTAAAATGCGTTTTACTCGAAATATTTTTTTGCGAAAAGTTCAAACGGGTATAGCGATTGCTCAAAAAGTTTTGAAAATAATTTGCTGAAATTTTTTGTGTATATTCTGTATAACAGTAGAAGTGTTTTGACCTTCAGATTTATCAATCACTGTTCTATTTCAAAATTTACAGTCTTTTATGTGGATATAATCACTGTCTTTTTCAGCAATTTCATATAATCACTAAGACAAAAATGCTCTAGTTTTTTTGTAAAAATTAAAATATCTCTTATTCTGAAGGTCGTTTCAAAAATGTATACCTAAGTACCACATCAAAATAGAAAAATTGAGAATTTGTTCATAAAAGTTTTTGTACAGAGCCGGCCCCGTTTATATAATTGTTTGTACATTTTTACCAGTTTTTTCCCATTTTAATAATAATTTTTTTTTCTGCTTTCAATTTTAGGATTTTTTTCCTTAAAATATA